GAGGACTAACAGGAGCTACTGAAGCACTTTTGAGTTTGAAATTGGAATTACTGAAGGGGAAGAAGCAGGATATCAGAGCAACAATAGCATTACTTCATACCAGGTATTTAAAAGCTGGTACTGTCACCCTGCACCTGACCATAACCCTGCTCAAGCGATAACCACCTGTGGCAGTCGGATGCATCTGGTCCTGATGGATGCATCCAGCTCAAAGTGGATTCACAGGAGGCAGACAGGCAGCCAAGGGCCAGGGGCTATTGTGCAATGTGCCCACCTAACCACAGTGCTGATCAATGTCCAACTCAAGCCAAATTTGGAAGAAACTTAACATCTGCAGTCGGTATGTAAATATGACTGAGTTCAATCATCTTACCCCCATAAATAGTGAACAGCCCGAGAGCCCTTCGAGCTCTCCTGCACAGCAGCAGGCTGCACGCCAGGATCTCCCCTTGAGCAGGGACATCTCTCAAAGTTACTCCTCAAGGTTGAGAGACTCCTTGTAATAACAGATTCTCAGTAAGTGGCTAACAGCATGCTACACTGGAAAATTTAGCTAAGTGATATAAAGGATTGATTGTGCATATATAATCCTTTAGACATAAACCATTGACCAAGTCTGGGACTAGGATTGGATCCAGCTGCACCTAGACTCCTCTCTGAGGAAGAAGTTTAGAAAGCAAGGGGATCTTTCCTGATCCTCATGACTCAACAAGAGGGTCTCCCTGACAGTTGTGTCTGACCCTGTCCTCTATGCAGTAAATAACCAAGTGTACCTTGCCATCAAATCAAAAAATTGTTAAACCACTGTCACATCTACCATTGAACTTTGTTAACTTACTGGTTTATATCAATAAACTTTTTTTTTGCCTCCCTCTCACTTCATCCATGACACAGTGAAATAAAAATCTGAAAAAAGAATGGAATTAAAACCACCAATTTTCCTTTTGCCTGGAAAACTTCAGTTTTGACCATCAGACCTAAAAGCAGGAGAAAAGCAAGTTCAGACAGCCTGAGCAGAGACCCAAAATAACTTCAGCAGTCCTTCGTTTTATGAATACTCTGTTTTAGAGAGGAAAGAAGTATGCAATAAAATGATGCAGAACATAACAGAATGGAGACTGAAAGGCAAATAAGCTCCTGTTGCTAACTCATAGCTAGCCATGAAGCAGTGGAAGATTATACAAAGATCAGTTAGAAAGCATTGCATCAGTTTTTACACAATCCATAAGCAAACTGCTATCAGAAATTATCCAAGAATTTAAGATTCAGAAGTGTTTCTATGGATAAAGAAAACACAATGGCATCAACAGTGATTACGAAAAGTATATACAGACTGTTTTAAAACATTAACCTACCAATGATCTGTTTCAGGGTTAAAGTCCAACTTTCTTAACCTGATTTTAAAAGTATCTAATACAGGAATTGACAAATAGCACATTCTTCTGTGCCTCACTTAGTGCACAGACTGCTGTTAACAGTGGTCCATGGAAACACATTCAGTAGCAGGAAGAAGTAAAGTGGAAAAAAGATAATACTCAACACTTAGTAACTTAAAGAGAATTCAATCATGGAGGAGATGATGCTGAGTGCAACAAAATGCTAGAAAATAAAATTGCGTTAGCTTTTTTCCCCCCTCTTAAGAATTCTCTACACTGTTAAAACACATTTTTTTCAGATAAAATCTCCTAAATACTTTTTAAAGTTATTTTTTATTTCTAAAAGTTAAAAGGCATAATTTAAATGCCTCTTCCAGTTTCTACACATTTGATACCAAAGAAAGTGTTAAAAAGGTCACAGCACTTTGAAGGATTTTTCATGTAAGAGCTCTGCTGCCACCACAAGGATACAGAAGAGGAGACAATCTAGAACTTCAGCTTTCTAAAAAGGTTAAGCACATAACGTGAACGCATGCTAGTAGCATACAGCAAAACTGGTTTGTGCATGTGGCTTTTGAGGTTTCGTGTTATCGAATTGAATAGTTTTACTAATGCGATCAGAATAGCTTCATTATTAATGCCTATTAATTTTTGTCACGGAAATGCAGTACATTCCCGTTCTCAAATTAAATATTTTAGCAGTGTTTTAGAGTGCTTTATTGGACAAATTTGGTTACTATTCCTCCAGAAAACCAGGCTGCCTTCATATTATTGATGAGTGGAACATGAAATACTGACTTTAAGGTCCATCGTTGGTCAAGACCGGATACTATCCATAGCACTACTGTGCAAATTCACACAATACTCTGCTTGTGGAGATGAACAGGTTATTCAAACCATGGCATCCAAGTGTTGGAAACAAAGGATTCAGGAAGGCTGGATTAGTGGGTGCAGGTAGGTTGTTAATAGATAAAAGTAACCTGGGTAACATCTCATGGCTCTTGTTCGCTACCAGTCACTCACTATTTCACATCACTCTGTGGTCTATACTTAACACATACCTACCACAAGTATTCATGCACACTGACAAATAACTTGACTGTGTGGCCATATTGTTGATAAGCCAGCACAATTCCCTATTTTCCATCTTAGAACCATATGTAGCCTGGAATCTAAGAGCTTGGACACTAATCAAGCTTCAAAACACATAGAAAGGCATCCATGAAGCCTCACAAGTGACAGTCAGACAGAGATTGGAAATAGCACCTGAAAAAGCAGCCATCAGGAACCCTGGCTCTGACCAAGACCCACCTTTCCCATGTTTATTATTCCCTTCAATGAGTGCACTTGGAATGGATGAAGAATATCTTCGACAAAGAACAGACTCACTCCAAATACTAGTTACCATCTAATTACAACCTGTATCCCAAGCAAAAACACTGTTTGGGGAATAGTGCTTGCAGCTTACCAACATCCCCAATGGCTATTTATGCTCCATTTTTTTTAATCTTCTTTTGTACTATAGGCACGGTATGACAATGGCATTTCTACAGAGGTACAACTTGGAAGTTAGGACCAACATGTGGTACTTATTTTTTGTAATGACACTTCAAATCACATGAAGTGACAACATGACAAGTGAGAGAACACTTACCAAAACTGCAGATTTATTTAGAATTGAGACTCTGAAGACAAAAAGTAAGGAATGAAAACTTCGCAATTCAGGATTGTTTGGTTTTTTTTTTTTTAAAGCTATAAAATGTCAGCTTGCAATTGTGGTGTTTCAGTGCCAATAGGGGGAAAAAAAACAAAATCCAAGGGGCATGCTGCATTTTATTTTATTTTTAAATTTAAGCCACTATCTCCTTTTCTCTTGCTGAAACTTTCATTTCAACATCCACAGGCAAAGTTCCTGAGTTTTTTTGTTTGGGGTTTTGGAGGAGTTTTTTTGACTTTAACTTACTGAGAATAAAAACAGTAAAAGCATTTTAAGCTTCAAAATAATCAAACCAGGATTTGAGACTCCTCGTAGTTGAGATTCCAGGAAATTTAATCTATGAAATGAATCACATGCAGTTAGCAAACTGACACAAGAATAAAATGGAAAAGAAGATTAATATACATCTTTCATCATCACTGAGGATAGGAAGTTAAGTACACATAATGTCAGCAGTTATTCCCAACCGTAGTCTTAACATGTAGCAGTATTTTAATCTCTGTAAGAAAGATACCACGAACAAAGCTAGGAGAGCAGAAAAAAAAAATATATATATCTACATTCTTATCCAGTTGCAATATTGGTACTGATTTTCTAATGGCTGAAGCTGAAAACTTGTCCAAAAACTTTCTCTGGGAATGAAATACAATAACAGAAACAGAACCATTTAACTTAAGTACCCAGTCAGTGTCTTGATTTAACCTGATACGGAAACAGAAACACAAGGGCAAAACAAAATCATGCTAGCTGATAAAAAAAACAGGGAAAGGGTGTTTATGAAAACCCACAAAACACCACACAGATTCTACTTCACTTTCCAGAAAGTCAGATGTTCATGAAGAGATTTTACAGATGAAGAAACTCACAGATCTCATTCGTAGTGCCAAAAAGGAAATCAAGTATTAGAGAAAACTCATTTTCAATTTGCCTTCTGAAAAGAAACAAACACCTGACCTGTACCCTTTATCTACCTAATGTAGCTAACGTTCTTTAAGAACCAATTTTGGCAGGGTTCCTGGTAAAAGCAAAAGGGAGATTACGCTCAGTGCTCTGCAAGACACTTCTGACAGCAAGGTCATGTAACGCTAAATGGACAACCAACTGCTTCCCGTGGCAAGACAAGAGCAGTCATTGCACTGAAGCACATGTCCTTTGTGACAATCTCCCTAAGAGCATTTCATACAGGAACTATGACTCTGATTTTGTTAACACTGCCCAGCTATGGTGGTACCAACCTGTGAAGTCATTCTGCAGTCACACAACTACCAGTAATTTTACGGGGGCCAGCTTTCACTTACATTTTAGTGACTCAGGTAAAATGACATTTGAGGCAAGGTTAAAGGCAGTTAGTTCCCTACCGGAGGGAGTAAACAGCCAAGAGTGCCCTGCTTTATGCAGTACCTAAGCGCAGATGTGCTGCTCCCTGCCTTGAACACTGGGATGAAACAGAATTCAAGATGGTGCAGTAACTACACTCTAAAGTAGGAGTGGAGAAGGGGGGAAAAAAAAGAAAAAAGGACCGTCTATTGATTCTTCAGGAATGTCAGTACAATGGAAACTACAAGGGTTATGAAATACTGTTAGTCCTGCTCATATCATGCTCTTGTATTTGTTGCCTGGGTAAAAAAAAGCAGACCACCAAGCATAGTTTCTCAGGGTCACCTGCAGTCATACCATTCTACAAAACCTTTTATCAAAGTAGTATTTGTGCAGCTATGCTAAAACTAGCAAACATTTGTATCATCAGTTAGCACTGTACTTGTTTCAGTATTTCCACCAACACTTGTTGAAAGACAAAAAAACTCAGTTGTTTCTAGAGCAAACCACATTACCTGTCTCTTTTCAAGTCCGTAAAATTATTTTAAAAGATATATCTAGTTCAATGTATATCTAAAAGGAAATAGTACCTTTAATGTTCTAGTTGGAGCCCAGCCAGTGCCATCAATTGAATGTTCTCTCAATAAACTGGAAAAAAGACACATGTATTATACAGTGTAACTTCTAATTAAACAACCTTTGTCAGAAATCTCAGAAAACATTAAGAACTTAGGAAGTAACTGCAACATAAGAATTGCCTCTTGCACTATATCTAGGTTCTGGAATTTTAAAGCACAAGAATTGGTATGTCTTCCTGGAATTACATTCTACACAGTGCCGTTACAGATCTTCCAATCTGAGCTCAACCTTTGTCAAAAAAGACTGAATGATTTTCATCAAGCAAAATAAGCATGACAGAAGTCCTTGTGATCTTTATTTTCCCCTGAGCAAAGACACACAGTGCTCGCGTTTAAAACCTATTCATCTTTAGTGAAGAGACAGGCTTGCAGAATGACCTCTCTCTCACCAAACTTGGTACAATTCAATCCAAAAAAAGGGTATTTTTGGTGGGATATCTGATTAGTGAGAAAGAGGATTATCATCCTCTCTTCTGTGAGCTTCATCCTCAGCTTCTCAGAGGCAGGGATAGGAAAGTGAAATAGTTTTGGTCTGTCTGCTCAGGAAGGTTTTGCATCAGCCATAACATGAGCAGATACATCTGGAGCCTCTGGGGACACAGCGCAGGACAGTCCAACAGCAGGGTCTAACAGTCTTCTTCCAGCAGGTGAGCTATACTGCAAGCAGAACATTTTAAGGCTTTACAGGCCAACTCAACATCATACATCCCCAACTGGAAATCACAAAGACTACTCTGGGCAAGAGAGATTGTTTACAGGAAGAAAAAAGAAAAAGTTCCTTGTAAGCCATAATACATGCCCTTAAATTCTAGTATAGATACATACAAGTATTAATATAAATAATTAAGGTACAGATTTTCTTACATACACACATACTGTATAGAAATTTTATATGATCTGCATATTATGTTACATATTAAGTCCAGTGAAGCTGTTGAGCTATTTACCAGTTGAAGTCATTGAGGTGCATTCAGTTGGTTAGGCATTCAAAAACCTTTCAGGTCAAAACATCAGCAGTTAGGAGAAGTAAAAATATTGGAGACCAGAGCATAATTAAGAAATGAGGTGAAGTCATGCTCACATTTGTGAAAGCAAAAGTAATAATCTGAATGAGAAAGTCGTGAAATGATGCTCAAGGAGTTTTCCAAATGCATCTTCCTCTGTTAAGAAGTAATCTAAAACTGAAAACTCATACAGCAAAGCACTTAAAATTCATCACCACCAGCAGCTTCTACTACTGAAATGATAGGGTTAAAGTGAAATAAGCTTAAAATATTAGGTTTTACCAACATTCAGGATTACGTCTATTAAGTAATTTTTAAATCACAGCAGATGACTGGACCATACAGGCTATCCATACAGTTATTTATTGAATGCTCTGAGTTTTTAATCCAAGGAAATATACTATGACCAGCATTACTCCTTGTTCAATGTAGACAGGCTAGGAACGGTAGGATGATACTGGACAAGACTATTCCATCTTAACTATGCTGCTAATCTCATTTCTGTGCCTTTAAAAAGATAAAATACTCCAATAACACTAGTGCAGCTCAAAACTAATTTCAAAAACGTTAAAAACAGCATCTTGTGGCTGCTATTTTTGTTCATATTACAAAAGTAAAAGCAAAAATGTTGCTAAACAGGCAATAGCCATAATGTTCAGGTTTTGAGCAAAACCCAAACTTTATAGCTTGCTTTCTGTCTGCTCCTCATAAAATTTTGCTGCAGTACTCCCCTTTACCCCTTCATATAGCTCACTGTGAATTTAAGAGTGAGGAATAAGTTAACACATGCAAAAAAAGCAAAAATATCCACCGATAGAGCTCAAACTGCCTGAGCATATCAGCCAAGTCTTGTAATACCCTTCCAGCTTCCCAAAGCCTCAGAGCTCTCTCTCAGCATATCTCCAGCTGTGGACATCAGCAAGCCAGGAGTTGAGAGGAGACACTCATACCACTCAGAGCTCTTGGCAGAAAAGCAATGAAGATAAGTGTACCTGTGTCTCATACTTCTAATTTGCTGATATAATTCATTTTTAGAGCAGCACCCTTTTTCTTCCTACAGATTGGGAATGATCATTAGGCCCCCAATCAAAACCTTTTCCCAGCACCAGGAGTCTAGAGAAACCACATCTCATGCTCTCCATGGGGATGACCTAGATATAACTGCCAGACAGTTGGGGGGCCAAATGGTGATCTGCTCTCAGAACATCACATACACAAACAGCAGAATGAACACCTAAATGAGTAGAAATACACCAAATACATCACAAACAGTGGATAAACAGACATCTGCATGCAGCTTCTGTTCAAAGACCTGTCATCCACGGGTCCTCCTACCAAAGAGGAACTGGGCTACTAGGAAGTTCTCAGATGGCACAACCAGCAAAGCTTTTCTTGTCCACTCAGTGCTTCAAGAGGCTGCTTTTGACGAGCTACCACATACACCACAAAAGCCACCTGTTCTACCAGGGTTTTCAGGACATCTGATGGGCAGGAAAACCTGTTTACTTGAAGTGACTATTTAAAATTGCCAGGACTTTGCTGCCTCACACAGGAACGCCAGAAAACTCATCTAGTATTATTTAGATTGAATAAACATTCAGAAGCTTCCCTTGTGATGCTTGAGAATGAATTTGCAAAAGTAAAGAGAGGGGTAAATGAATTTCTGCAGCATTTCAGATTACGAACACTGGTGAGTGCGCACGTGCCTTGGGGAAGAAGCATCAGGGCTGACAGGAGGGGGAGCCCTGTGGCACAAGCAGGCGTTTGTCAGGCAGGGAACTTCACCAGGGAGGGGAAGGTCATTTGCTTTGTCTTCAGCTGTATCAGGGTCTGAGAAAAGCCAAGCACGTCGTCCTCAGTCATGGGGGGACTGGAACTCACAACTGCACCTTAACACCTGGTGTTTGTATCTAAGGAGACCTCCCAGAACATGACTTCAAATCTTTATATCAGAGTTCCTACGGGAAGACTGCAAAATCACTATTTTTGAAGCTGTAGTAACCAAAACAGCCACTGATGTGACCAGCCAACTGCTCAGCTTTCAGTTCCACAAATATCTTCTCATTCTGTAATTCCTGAATGGACAAAAGCTTTGAGGAATCTTTTCTTTTTAAATACACAGCACCCTAAAGAGATTTTGCAAAACATCTACTGAACTGGGAACTGCATGGCTCTAGCAAGCTTAAAGCTTTCCGAAACTCCAGCTGACATGATTTACAGCCTAAGTGACTAAAAATTGCTGTAATGGGCAGATCAGTCCAGGAAAAAATCTGGTTTATGTAAAGATCTCAGACAAACGTATTTACCAACATAAAATGTCAGTTCCAACAAAGCTTTTGCCTTCCTTTTGCTGACAGAAAGTATCATTCAAGGTAAGTTTGATTTAAAAAGCTGTAAATCCACTTCAGAAACCATCCACTGGCAGGGACACATTATAGAGCTTTTTTTCTTGCTCACCTCCCACTGCCCACATTCCCTGCTCAACCCAGCACTGCCAGAGCAACCATTCTGGAGGCCATGCTATAGACTGGATGAGTGGAGCAATTGGTGTAGGAAGTCTTTCTAAAGAGCTTTTTGTTTCCACATTGGCACAGCTGAGGAGATTGGGAACAGCACTGGGGAACAGAAATAAGCAATCAACTTCATCAGCTTTTATAATTGAAGAAATTGCAACGCTGAGATATGTTAGATGCTACAACAGATCAGTCTTCCAACACTTCTCCAGCATCCTTTAATAGTGCATCATGAAGTGACCAAACCTTAACTAACAATACCTATTGCCGAAAACAACACATCCAATAACATTGACCCCCTCACCATGTGGCACAAAAGCAATGAAATTTCTGAGTAATTAAACTATTCTAAAAACTTATGTGGTTATGGATGAAAAAACACCTCAGGCAGAGCTCACATCAAGGGGGGGGGGTGGAGGGGGGCGCAGCATGGAAAGTAAGTGACATGCATTATATATTGTCAAGAAAGTAGTTAACTAGGGTATGCAGTATGCAAGCATATCCTTTCTACGTATCTTGAGGTTTTCTATCCACATGTGAAGTGGAGGCAATATCCACAAGTATGGTCCAGACCTAATTAATATGGCCCATTATTAATATGGTCCAGAGTAACCAATCCATAAAGCACTGAGAAACACAACATTTCCTGCCTAAACTATTACACTCAACCACAAGTTTAACCATTTGGTATGTTCTAATTCAGGGATGATTATCAAGCTAACACATACTATAGTGTGAGGTATGTAAAAGACAGATGGGAAGAATACTGATAAGGAATTTTTTTTTTTTTTTTTTTTGCTTTTAAAAATAACTGAAGCTATTTTAATGTAAAGACTTGATAAGCTGATTGCAGGTACTATATATGGAGTGCATTCTCCATTATAACAGGCATAAAGCAATCAAAGTTATTTTAGTTTTCCCATCTAAACGGGAAGACATTTCAAAGGCTTGATATGTTAAGGATTCTGACAATCACATAAAGCTGATGTTTCACTGCAGATGTGAAAAAATTACTTCATTAAGTAGAATTATGATGTTCCACACTATGTTCATCTTTCAGAATTAAAACCATTTTAAACAAGAAACAGTGAAATATCCTAAAGAATGTGAGGAGGCTTTATTCAATCTCAGAAGATGTAGCACTGTAGTCAGAGCTTAAACTTTAAGCTATTGTTTGGTGTCTAGTATTTCTTGTTCCCTGGTTCCAAACCGCTCACTTATTCTTTTACTTATCTTATTTGACTCAAAGTGTCTAACCTTTCTCAATACATTATTTGCCAAAACAACCTTCCTGTATCACCTGCATACAGCTCCAAATAACTGTGGACAACCAGCTTTTTAGGTAATCTCACATGATTTAGTACGTTACCATCTATTGAGCCTGACCTGCCTATCAAGTGTGACAGATTACGCTACAAAATCTTCATTTTCAACAGGACCTTGAACACAGCATTAAAATTATTTTAAATCTAGAGGAAAAAATCAGGGTTTTTTTAAGTGCCAATTTGCTAAACATGGTGGCAACTGGTTTGGATTTTCAGAACAGCTTTCAATCTCACTTATATTCATTGCTTCTGCTTCATCTACTTTTTCTTTTACGCCCCATTAACTTGAAAAATGACAGTCATGCTTCTCACTCCTGTTTATGTTTGGTTTCTGGCCAATTTCACCATCAGGTACTCATGATGAAACACTGAAATTACAAAGTTTCAGAAACTGATTTTGAAGAAGAGACATTTACTATCAAGCAAAACCACCCAGCAATATAAACCTCTCACTTTATGGTAGAGTAAAGGTTTTGGGCTTTGTATTTTGACTTACACTCCCCCAATTCTGTTATAACTGGCACATGTCTTACAGTGGATATTAAATGTTAAAATAAACACATGGCAAATACAGAATAGTTACTGTCAAAGTTTAAGGAATAGTTCCTCTTTCCTTTTTGAAATATAAAGGATTTTCAAGCACTTAACACATTCAGGCACTAAAAAAAGCAAAGCCTTAAGCCCTCTCAGGGCCTGAGGACAATTCATGTATGGTAGGAGAAAAAAGAAAAAACCAACTAAATTTTGTTCAGGCTGGAGTTTACATTTTTCCCCTAAGTAGAACAAAACTTTAGGTCTGAATCTGAAGAGCCAGGCTCTACATGATCTCTTAACACACAGCAAGAACAATACTTTTGGTAGATTTCTAAGTTCCTAAAGGTCGCATGCCACTGATTTGCAGAACCTGTTGAAAAAAATACTGGCATGAAAATGACATACAATGTTTTACCACACAGAAAAATCTCCAAGGTAAAAAAACCAGAATGCTGTTGCTACCTTAGGCAGATTTCTCCCGTCTCTGTAATGTTCGGATGCCATATTCTTGTCAAGCATTTTACCTTTGGAGGCTGCCAGGAGAGAAAACAAGTTATGATGTTATACTTTAAAATAAAACTGTATCACTGTTACAAGTCACAGAACTGAAAGAGCTAAATATATTTGATATTCACAAGTCTATGTTTGAATGTTAAAGACCTTGATAATATAATCTACAGGAGTTACACCAGCTTTCTCTACCCTTAGTTTCTCTCAAGTCTTCACAAAAACTGGGTTGGTATTAGAACAAAACTAACTTTAAAGAAAGCCAAGAAAATTTACCATTGTCTTCTGCCTACTTTGGGGAAAAGAAAACATACCACATCATTCAGTTTCTTAACACTTAACCAGTAAGACCACAATTTAAAACAGAAAACTAAGCATTTTCCCTCAAGGCTTATCCAAGTCAGGGGTTTGTTAAAAGCCAGAGGATGCAATGATAATAATTGCATCAAAAGAACAGCTTCTTTTAAACGCAGACCTTCCTGTTCACAATTGAATAGGAAGTCGCACAGGAAGCATCAAGAAGGTACGTCATACCCAAATTTAAGACACTAACATAAAAAGCCAAACTTATTTTCAGGCAAGATCCACCAGATTTCTGAATTCCATAGTGAGTTTTGAAATACAGATTCTCAAAATACAACTCTCATTTGCTCTAGTTTTGTGAAGTAAATAAGGAGTGGGTCATAAAAATTCCAGTAGCTTAGCAACAGCACGTTGTTCCATCCGTGATCTCCAAATTACAATTTGCAGCTTTCAATCAAGCAGATGATTTCTTATACTAAGTGTACTGGAATACATCAGCACAGACCAGTACCTTTCATAACTTCAATTAAATCACATTATAGACATGGAGCTTTTTTCCTCCACTGCTTCCCATGAAGTCTTCAGCTGAGAGACAAAATAGCTCGAATAGCTGTATTTGCATAGTGGCATGATGCGTTTTGTCTCATCACCTTGTTCTCAACTTCCCAATTGTCTTTGTAGCAAAATATTTTTTTTAACTAAGACTCCTTGGAGAAGAGGTAAGAAAATATGCATGGTACTGAACTACCAATAATATGCCTGTCTGGCACTAGAAGAAACACTTTTCACCACAACACATCTGCAATTTATAATGCAGACACTGACTTTTCTCCATTCATATTTTACATTTGTCCAATAACTCAAGGCACACTGACTGCCCCGGTGCTGGATCACAGCATTGTTGAAAATTAAGTGGCATGCTGAAAACAGTCTCAAGCTTTTTACCTTCAGAACAAGTGTTCTTCTGAGAAGTTTTCTCACAGCACAGCTTTTCATTGCCTACACCTTCATGTTGTTTTGAAAGATTATGTCTAGCTCTCAATAAAGGGAAAGCAGTAGTATTTATTCCATGCCAGTACATCAAGATAAAAGAGTAAATTTCTACCATATGCACCTTCAAACAGGGAAGGTACTGATGAGTAAAAAAATAAAGTAAGTTTTACAGAAACTAAATCTTAAAAAAAATCCCCAAATCCTCACAGAGTGAATTAACTGGTGTCTTTTTTTGTATCATGGAAACTAAATTCCTTTATCCTTTTATCAAAGTGTTTTTCATCACTGACCACTCCTGACAGTAAGACAAAGGGTTTTTTTCTCTCCCCTTCCTCTGTTAGATAGACAGGACAATGGCAGCACTATCGCAAAATTTATCTTCAGACAAAACAACTTCTTCAAGCTTGTTCCAAGTCATCTTTGAGTCTCCCTTAGATCACCAAATCCACACAAGATTTCCTCAAGATGATGTTTCACTTCAATATCTCCAACCATCTTCAATTCATACATGCAACACATTGCACAACAAAGCTTACAAAATCCATTTATTCCAGTGCTCAGCCTCATCTTTCACCTCATACTGAAAGCTCCACAGGAAGATCCAACCTCAGCTGGGGGTCACAACAGTGAATGGATTGATTTTCTTCGCCTTTTCTAAGCAGCCACTTATCTTTCAGGATCTCTCATTAGTTTTGATAACAGAAACTGACTTTCACATCCATTCTCAGTCCATTTCAACATATCGGTGAATATGTACAGATAGTACAATAAAGTGTTGCAAGCATTTGAGAACTACACATACACTAACTTCAGTTTTGGTAGAAGTTTTGAGGAACAAGCTTCAGATCCACCTTGTCTTATTTCTTTAAAAAAAATGCAGCAAGTAATCTCTCCCCTCCATTATTCTTACCAAATGAGAGATCAAATATAAAGTGCTAATCAATAAATTAACTTAATTAACAGTTTCAGATCTTGATCAATCTGGCAAGCCAATAGCTAACATGACAAGTGTACTAATACAGATATTTTCTGTAACTGTAGTTTCTCACCTCACAACCTTTTCCCTAGAGAAGGGTTGGACTTCCCAGCAGAAATTTGCAATTGGTATTATTTGAAATGTTTTCTCTAGACTCTAGATAGTCTCAAAACATTCTTGTGAATTGCCCTGCAACTACAACTACAGGTTTTTTTCTTTATAGTTTCTACAAAACAGAATTCCCAAAAGAGGCATTAACAGGAATATGGATTCCAGAGACCAAGCTACAACATAGCCTTAAGATATTTCTTGCCAGTCACTCTTCCCTACTAGTTCCTGACCTATTTCTTGATATTGGCTGAAACTGAACACCAAGCACAGCTAAGCACATAGTACAAAGAAACAGGTTGAGGAAAATTAAATCACACGGCCCTGTGCTTTTGATGGAGTGGGTTATGGAGACATTGCCTTACAGCAGGAAGGGGCCTTGACACAAGAACGGCCCAAGGCATGCATTACAGGTCCTCAGGCTTCCTTTCATCACCTCAAAATTTCCAGACAGAGGCATGATGGAGCATAAGCCCAATACCCATTTCACTGGTTCTAACCCAAGACCTGTATAAAGCAGAGTCAAAGAGGTAGATAGAAGCCCCTTAATTGTAACACCTGATCCTTCAGGAACCAGATCCCTTCTGATTGTCTGCTGTTGCCACATCTAACATTGGCCAAAAAAAAGGACCAAGATTAGCACCTCTGCTGTTAAATTCCTGGCTTCTGACCACTGCCTAAGGCACCTGATGTCATAAAAACCTTGCTAAACTAGAGAGCTGCCGAGACTGTCTACTCTGACAACACAAGATATCAGAACCACGAGAGCTGCAAACAAGGCCTGGCTTGCAGTGGCAGACAGTTTAATTTTATGTGAATGTTAAACCAGATCTGTACTATTAATCAAGTTCCATTCCTTAAAGCACCAGGTCCCTAGGCTTGTAGCACCCATTATTTCATCAGCTGCACCTCAAGGCATGTTTGTGTTGGGAGTAAAAATACCAGACAAGCCTGTCAAGTCATTACAGCCCTGCCCCAGAGCCTGAATGCATTTTCTAACTAACCTTTTTAGCCTACAGAAAAAAGAACAGCTGTTTTTAAACATACATATACATTTCCATTAATAACCCAACAGTCAGCCCACTGCATTTTTTTCAAAATTGCACAAAGGCAAACTTTTTACTTTTGTGTTGGAATGAGAGGTGCTCAGAATTTTAAAATATCTAATTAACATTTGCTGTAGATTTTCTGCCAGTGCTGAGCAAGGAACCGTAACAAACTAAAAGATTTTTTAATTATAGCAATTGAGAATAAAAAAACCCAGATCAAAATTAACATTCAGCTCTCCTCTTAACACATAGGAAATACTTTCCTGCAGCAGTGTTAAGACAGTTGTTAACAGTGTTGTTAAAAACTTAACAAATTAAAGTTAGTGTATATTGTGTATGTTCCCCCATGTCCAGCACTGCCACAGTGGTTAAACTGCTATTACTGGAGACAACTAAAAATTAGACAGCAGAGAACATGACAGGGTTTCCCCCTTTATACTGAAGGCCACGTTTCTCAGGTATGCCATGGCACAAATTATTCAAGTTAGAACAAGGATGTAGTCAATCTTTAACCAACCACCTTTGTCTTTGTAGTGTCTAACCTTACAGAAGCTAGTAAAAGCGGCCTGTATTACAGTATGAAATTCTCTGGTGAGGTTAAGGGGAACTTAAAAAACCACAACCAAAACCATACAACTGCAAACACTATTAGTGCATGGAGGTGTTTTAGATAGCATTGTATCAATAAAAGACAGCCAGGATGCTAAACACTTTAAAAAAACAACCATAGCTTGAGCAGATAACCCTTGGCCAATACTACTATGAAAGGAAAGCACAACTATCAAAAAAAGGAGGAAAATTCAAAGCTCTTTCAGAAGTGCTATGGTCTTCTACAAGCATGAACTTTTTATAAGATATAGTGCACATCTCATGTATTCATAATCTATAAATAAAGGAATATTAGGAAACCTGTGAAGGCATCTTCTGGAACGCAAACCCAACTCTTCTGCTTTCAGAAACAATCTTTCTACATAATCTACTAACAGCATTAATGCCCTGTTCTCCAGGCTCAGTCTGGGAATTCAAGCTATTACATTCCAGATCACCACACCTCCTTTGTACATGTATATAAACAATGCTATGACTGCAACTACTACATATATATGATGCTGAATTTAGGCTTGGTGCATCTGAACATCTGAAAAGCCAAAGGTCTTCATGGATATATTTCTCTAATATCCTCCCCATACATTCTTGAGCCTCCCAGAAAGAACTCTGAACTATCAACACCAAAAGTAAGAAAACTTAAAGCAGAAGGATGGGGGAAAAAAGTCACAAAAGCAAGATTATCAAAACCATTCAAACTGAATAAAAAAAAAAAAAAAAATGAGGCTTCCTTCTTCCCGCAATTCATATACCTAAATGCAAATATTGCAACTCAAATTATTCTAATTTCCTTACATATCAAACTATCAGAACACAAAACGGCAGGTGTAATTCCTGACAACCAGAGGCATGCCCCATTTTTTTTTTCCACTTTTTGGAGTCAGTCTTGTTCTTTTGACAGCTAAACTCTGAAAACAATGCCTGAAGTTATTTTTATTGTAATTCCATCTCCCTTCCCTTGCAAGGTTCTGCAATATTAAAGTACAATAATACCAACACTTCTCATACTTGAAAAGACCAAGTTGGGGGTTGGACTAGATGATCTCCCAAGGTCCCTTCCAACCCTTGCGATTCTGTGATTCTGTAATACACATTAGATGTCTGGAGCTTTCTATTTATCTATAAAGATATATATAATATATATAAGATACCACAATCATTTGTAGGTCCTCTGGAAAGCTGTTTGCTTAGTAACCATTGAAATTGTTATTTTTTAGTGATACTTAACTAAACAGACTAGGAGTCAACCAGTAGAACTGGTGGAGTGTGCTAAAGGAAGCTACTTGTCACCATATCTGTGCTTTCCATGTCCTCCATTGCATGCTCTCAAAAAGGATTAGGCACCTAAGTCCAATATTAGAACTACAAGCACCAGTTTGAATGCTCTAGAGAAAAAAAAATATTTTCCTTTCTGTTCACTTATTTCATTCTTTCTCTTAGATGTATCATTTTTTTGTCAGATTAATCATTAAGTGCAGGTCTTAAGAATAATTAACAGGAGAGAACAGATGAGAGTGGAACCTCAATCAGAAGAGAGTCTCAGGTCTGACTCATCTGTGCTTCTGAGCAGCCTCTGCCAGACAGTTGCAAATACTTATTTCTTTCTTTAAGGAACAATATCACTAAGGCAATAAAAGCCTCAAGGCTGTTTGGTTACAAACACTGGACTGCAAAAGAATAGCCAGAGAAATAACTATTCCCACTCCTCGAGACTCATGACAGTGCATCTGGAACATTGTGTCCCATTTTTAATTCCCCAGTACTAGATATATTGACAAAACTGGAGTGAGCCCAGCAGCCAGCCACCAAGATGGTGATGAGACTGGAGCACATGCAGTACAAGGAGAGTTGAGGGACATGGATTTGTTCAGCCTGGAGAAGAGAAGGCTGAAGGTGGGGACTCTATTGCTGTCTACAGCTACCTAAATGGGAAGGTATAGAGGAGATGGAGTCAGGCTGTTTGTAGATTTGCACAGTGATAAAGCAAGAGGCAACAGACAAGCTGCAAAAAGGGAAATTCTGACCTGATATAGGAAAATAACTCACAACAAAGGTAATTAAGCATTGGAACAGAGGCCCAGAGAGGCAGTGGAATCTCTGTCCTCCGAGATTTTGAAATAACAACTGTCCCAGGCCTTCAGCAACCAAATCCCACTTTAATACTACCCCAAACTTTGAGCAGTTTAGATGACCTCCAAAAATTCCAGGCAACCAAGATTTTTCTACAATCCCATGGTACTTTAATAATAGAAGATCATTTCTTAGTCTCAATGCCAAGGTCCCTATGACATCTTACTACCTGGAAAGGAAAACTAAAGTGACAACTACTAGACTAGTAACAAATACTCACCACCATATTGTAGGCATCAGGAACTTCAGTTTCAAACTGAAACTTTCCACCTTGGTAATAGCCCTCATCTAGCAAAGAAAAAACAAGAAAAATAGTTGAATAAGAGAAAATAGTTTATGCGATATAATACAAAATATCTGCCATTACAAAGATAAAGTAACAGCATGGGGTTATCATCAAATATTTAACCTAGTCAGACCATAACACTAGCTGTATCCTAGCCCAAAGAGAATGTGAATGTAGTGTCTTCCCCTACTCCCAAAACCTTTACAGTAGAAACTGATTTAAGACAGAAGAGTCAACAGTCCCAGAGTGACTCTGGAAAAAACACCTTCCTGATCAGGCCATACCAAGCTAGAGGAATCTTTGATTGAACCTTTCATGTCTGTATGAACAAAATTCTGCCACTTTATCAGCCATATGGCATGCAGTACCACAACACTGACCCTTGCAATGAGCTGGATACATACTTCACTTGCTAATGCACGCGCTAAATCCTGCTCCAGGGTTTAGCACATCTTCCCAGACTTGTGCTAGCAATCACATATCATGAGTAGTATGAATAACAGTGTGCATAAGCATGCTTCAGAGTGTATTACAATAAAAGAGCAAGTTATCTCTTATTGTAATTATCTTAGGATGATATATCAGTTCGGAAAATCTGCCTGCCTCTCTGTCGACCTCAGACTCAATACTGAATTATTAAAATGGCTAAATTCTAAAATATGAAATCTGAAAATACCTACTTCCATTTAACCAGAGATAATATAATAGGATAATAATCAGCCTACAACTCTTGAGATGGCTGTGCTTGGAAGCTGAAATGTTTGCAAGTGATCTGAAATGCATCTGTATGGCATTGCCATTACTGAGTTTTTTCGTTAAGAAAGGGAAACAGACAGGTACCCAGTCCGCACTGGGGGTCTGGGACACCTGAGGAATGCTCAGGCTCAAACTACATGGAGTACTCTAGCTCTCTGCATCACAGAGTACAGCCACAGTGAAGGCTTGAAGGTCAGGAAGGCATTATCACTGTATGATAGTATTTTTTTATATATTTTTAAACAAACATTGCAAAGGAAAGTCCAGTGAAACAATCCATAGTTTACAGAAAGATGAAGAGTGTTCTTATTATCTAGCTTGTTCCAAACCACAAAAAAACCCTAGCTCCTTTACTATAGGTCAAAATCCTCCTTTAGGATGCTGTCTTCTGGACCTGCTCCCTTCCCAGTCCCTACAATGATCTACCATGATCTTCTATTTTCTCATACCAACCAATGCACCACATCTACTTGCTCAGGTTTCACTCCATGCTACAATCTCACCACTGTCAGCAGAAGCCTGTAGCTTCCACACTAACTGCCACAATGACAAGAGAGTAGTCAGCTCTCACTCTCCTCCTCTTTGCAATCTTATCAGCTGACTTACCGAAAAGGAGAGGGCATCACCCTTTTAAATAACACAAACCCTCAGTTGCAGAAGGACGTGAGCCAGTAAAAGCTGATGCTGCCAAAGATGCAATTCAACTGCACGCTATGCCCACTAAGCCACTCCAAAAGCCCTGTCCCTCCAGAACAGCAAGAGTTACTGGGAAGTATCCCACCATGGTCCAGATTCTCCCAGGAGCCTGTGTA